TCTCCCTAAGCGCCTGCGGCCACTGCGTAAGGAACTCCCAATACTGTCTGGTGTGGCGTGGGACACTCAGTACATGAACGTAATCGTAAAAGGGTTATCACCCTTCCCCCCGCCTTCCCCAAACACACACTCACTAGTTGTTCACCAGGGTTTTAAAGGTGTACGGGTTCAGTCACTTTGGCGATCTGTTCAATAACCACAGTATATAAAACGTGGAAGGCAGAGTACATGTTGCTGGTTGGATAGGCAGAAACACTACTCACGTGTGTGGGTGATGCATATCTCAAAGGTGCAGAGAGTTGGGGATTTTGTTTACCTACAAAGGGTTATCCCATTCGAAATTAGTTACTCTTTAATGATACCAACGTTCAGTAAATTGGGAATGAAGAGTCGATTGCTCTGGCCCATGCATGAAGTCCACCTTCGAGGTCACAAACAGCAACATTTTCATTTCCCAAACTTTGCTCTAGTTTAAGCACAGCTCGTTGAGAATCGTTTCCTCTTCTGCACAGCACATATACTGGAAAAATACAAGGGAGTGGTATCAAAGTAGCCATAATCCAATGTGAAATTCATAGTACCATGTAAGAGCATCCGTGAAAACTGCTCATTAGTCAAAAATAATGTACTTAAAAGACATTTCTTTGCCTTTAATGTAAATATTCTACCTGGGAAATTTTCTTCATTTTTCTTTCTAGAATCCAAAATTTCTTTAATTTTTTGAATTGTTGTTACTTCTTCTAGTTTTTTGAGAGGAATGTTAATTGAATTGGGCAGGGCACACATGTTGAACTCCTCTGAGTCACGTACATCAATGACAATTCCTTCATTTTTGCAAATGAATGATCTGTGCAATGTCTCAGGACTCACACGCTGTTCTTGCTTCAGAAGACTTAAGCCAGATTCCTAAGATGACAAAAATGTTTTAAAAATAGTAAATCATTGCAATTTTTCTTATTTTCAGAGGAAATCTTGTGGCTGGTTATCTTACTTTATCAGTAGCTTTGGCCCCACAAAATTGTTCATAATCAATGAGTTTAGTGATTAAAGGGTGATCTCCACATACATCACAACTTGGATTTTTAGCTCGCAAACGTATATTACGGAAGGTGCTTTGTTCGCCACTGAATAACAGCAGCTGTCCTGAGAGAACTCCAGTCCACCCTAGAACTATCTTAATTGCCTCCAAAGCCTGGAGAACTCCTATAACACCTGGGACTAAATATGTAAAATTAAAATATGCAATTTTTGGAGTCATGGTTAAAGACATATAAAGAAAAAGGACAAACCTGCACCCAGAACTCCACCATCGCCACAGTTTGTAACAGTTTCAGGAGGAGGTGGCTTTGGAAATATACAACGGTAACAAGGACCCTGATGATGATTGTACACAGTAAGCTGTCCCTCTAATCTGAGCGCAGAACCAGAAACTAGAGGTTTTCCAGAAATAACACAAGCATCATTCAGGAGGTAACGAGTGGCCACATTATCTGTCGCATCTATAACTACATCATATTGCTGAACAATATTGAGAGCATTAGAGCTGTCAAGTTGTAAGCTGTGTTCCGAAATCCTTACATTGCTATTCAATCTGATCAGAAAATAAAGATCACATAAGAAAAAAAACAGTTTAATAATACATATATATTTTATAGTAACAATCAGAAATGGACAGATTTCAACAAAATATTATTATAATTACCTTCTTAGAGCTTCAGCAGCGGATGAAACTTTAGACACACCAATATTTTCTTGAGAATGTAGAAGCTGGCGGTGTAAATTGCTGCGATCAACTTCATCATAATCGACTAAGCCAATGTGCCCAATGCCAGATCCTGTGAGGTATTGAGCTGCAGGGCAGCCTAAACCTCCAGCTCCCACAATGAGAACACTGGCTCCTTTCATTAGCTGCTGACCTGTCAATAGTTTAATACGAAGTGCTCGTAACGAATAATATAAAATTGCACAACCACCAAATGATGAAGTATGTAAACATACCTTTCACTCCAATCGAAGGAATAATAATTTGTCTACTAAACCTCTCAATATCATCCTTTGACAATTTTTCAACAGACAGGTGTGTTTTACTTCCTTCACATTCTTTCTAAAAACAATACCAGAAAACACATAAAGAGAACTTGTTAATAGATGTTTAAAAATTCAGGAATTAAATTTAAATCGTTATTTCAATTTTTCACTGGTCATTAGTCATTGTCCTTTCCTTAATTTTAATTTTTAGCCTTAGGTGTTTCAATCAAAGAACAGCAGAAGTAAGATAACCTACTCATACTACGGCAATACTCACCAAAACTCTTAATTCTTGTTCCTTGCTTCGCAATAATTCTCTCAAATCGGCGATTTCCTTCTCCATCTGGAAAATACTCTTGGATTCTAATGACATGCTTTAAATACTCAAGTAAAAATATACGAACTTTTCAGAAGTAAACACGAGAAAAGTAATCGCGCTGCACTCCGCACTTTTTCATACCGTTGTGGAAACAGTAGCACGCTCGCTTAAAGGCAGTGATGACGAATATTTACACACACACGAAGAAAGACAAGACAGTTGTCTTTCAGTGATTTTATTTATTTTGAACTTTTCAGTTACTGCTGAACTGTAATGGTCTCTAAAATTCCATCTTTCCGTTGAAATTGAGCGTAGTAGGGCACTGACAAAGTGTCGCTTGACCTAATTTGGTTCACTTCATTGCGTAAATTCACAGGTGGGCCCCCGTCATGTCAAGGTTTGAAATTTTGTTTTCGTAAAATTCTAACATAACGAACGCCTAGTCCCACATTTTGTGGCTGCTCTTTTCGTCGTTCTTCGATATCTTCAGGTAATTTTGTAATTTTTTGTGGTTCTATTTTTTATTGGGTTTTATAACCTCAACTTCTGACATTTTAGTTTGTTTGGGAAATTTCTTTCAACCCCACACTTATTAATATTTCACTGCATTCGATAAAATAAAATGCTCATATTTTATTCTGCTTCTTATTTCTTGAACTTACAGCTTAAGTCAATGCTTGGGATGACCGTCATGGCAGTATCTATCAATGAAATATGCGAAAATACAAAATTGGCAAGAGAGATGGCTCTAATGGGGAACTATGAAACTTCTGGGGTTTACTACCAAGGTGTTGTTCAGCAAATGCACCGATTACTTCAAACCATTGCTGATCCAACGCGGAAAGGAAAATGGCAGCTGGTAAGATCACATTTAGGTTCTGTATTTTGTTAGACAAGCAGTATGTAATAGTCCTCAATTTCCTATCCATCATACTGTGCACTTCTTTTCACATTCTTTTAATAGGACACTGTATTTTTTTATCATTTTAAAGGTTCAACAACAGATTGCACATGAATATGAACAAGTAAAAACCTTAACCAACACATTGCAATTGTTTCGTTCTGACTCGCATACCGACAGACCTCTTGGTAAGTACCTTTTATATTTTATTTTAAATTGACTTCCTTATAGTAACAAAATTTATTTTTAAACTCTAGCGTCTGTAATACGAAGCCAGCCATATGAAGAACCCACAAGAGATGCAGCAGTTTCTTGGTTCAATTCAGGTCCAAAAGATCCGGATGTTTGGCCCCCTCCTCCAGATAGGGATCCTGATGTGTGGCCCCCTCCAACACCTGTAGAACATAAGTGAGCAATGAAAAACAAAAAAATGTTTTTATTAGGGCACTGGCACTACCCATACCTGAAGTTAGCCTTACTGTATCATGTCTTGTTTAGCATATATTGACAAACAATTACTTACAGAAATGCACCTCCCATTAAGCCTTTAAGAGGTGGACCTCAACGAAAGGGTGCAGAAAGCAAGAGAGGTTCAGTTTCAAATCAATCTTCCAAAGGAGCTGTTGCTGGAAAGAAAACAAATCCTCACGATTCCAAACCTGTGAAAAGAGATGGCAGACCTGTAACCGGACGTAAGGATAGCAAGGTGCGCTCTGACACTAACAGCCCTCCTGTAAGTCACATCTTTTTCTAAAACCTTCTTTTTTCTTTTGTAATTTTTTTATACCTTATCAAAAAAAAAGTGAAGTTTTAAGTGTTTGTGACATTATTATTTAACTTAGTGTCTTAATGGTCATGTAAAGTTGAAGTCTAAAAAAGCAATAATTGATCTGATTTCTTTTAATTCTAGGAAGAGAAGACTGAAAAAGATAAAAATGAGGTTGAAGAAAAGAAATTTGATGGCTCTGGGCCAGACCATGAGCTTGTGGAATTACTTGGTTCGTATTTGCTTAATACATATATCTAAACTTATCTCATCTATTTGTTTAAAACTGACATATTTATTGCTTGAAAAATTGATCGATTAACTACAAACTGAATCTTTGTAACAGAGAGGGACATTGTTCAGAAGAATCCTAATATTCATTGGAATGATATTGCTGATCTCCATGAGGCTAAGCGGTTGCTGGAAGAAGCTGTAGTCTTACCTATGTGGATGCCAGATTTTTTCAAGGTTTAAGAAACTGCTTCAATCTGCTTTGTAGGTTTAAAGTTAGAGGTACACACTATAAAATTAAAATGTGGTTCCATTTTTCTTTAGGGTATTCGAAGACCGTGGAAAGGTGTGCTCATGGTTGGGCCACCTGGTACAGGAAAAACAATGCTTGCGAAGGCAGTGGCTACAGAATGTGGTACAACTTTCTTTAATGTGTCATCTTCTACTTTGTCATCAAAATATCGAGGAGAGTCAGAAAAACTTGTGAGACTTTTATTTGAAATGGTAAGCTAACTGCTGATAAAAAATTGACATCAAACTGGTTTTTATTCCTGCATATTTATTGCATTTTCCCACACTTCTTAACTGCTTTGGTTCTTTTTTCAGGCAAGATTTTATGCTCCAAGTACCATATTTGTTGATGAGATTGACTCATTGTGTTCTAGAAGAGGATCAGAAAGTGAGCATGAAGCGTCAAGGCGAGTTAAATCAGAACTTCTTGTGCAAATGGATGGGATTAGTTCAAACAGGTATTAGAATTATTACTTTGGCTATTTTTAATCTATTTTTTGTTCGAACTTATTTTACATAGTTCACTCTTTTATCAATTTTAGTGAAGACCCTAGTAAAGTGGTTATGGTCCTAGCTGCAACTAATTTCCCATGGGACATTGATGAAGCTCTACGGAGACGACTGGAGAAACGAATATACATTCCCTTGCCTACTAGTGAGTTTTGCTTCAAAACTTGTGCCCTATAATTTTTAATACTGTACAGTTTACTGTAAACAGTGTTTTAATGTTTGCAGCTGAAGGAAGAGAAGCCCTTCTAAAAATCAATTTGAAGGAAGTTAAGTTGGACCCAGATGTTAACTTAGGTGATATATCAAGAAAGCTAGAGGGGTACTCCGGAGCTGATATTACAAATGTTTGCAGGTTTGTCTTGTTTGAAATGTTTCTCTTATAATATGGTATGAAAATTGCATACATATTTCATTGTCCTTTTTTCTTCTTTTTTTTTTTTACAGAGATGCTTCTATGATGTCAATGCGGCGAAAGATAGCAGGGTTGCGACCAGAACAAATTCGAACACTTGCCAAGGAGGAACTTGATCTCCCTGTGACTTTCCAAGATTTTGAAGAAGCCATATCTAAATGTAATAAAAGTGTGTCTCAAGATGACTTGGACAAGTATGAAAAGTGGATGAGTGAATTTGGATCAAGCTGATAGGTGTTCAGTTAGTGATATGAAAATCATTTGGGCTTTAATTTAGTACCAATGATTCAGGGTGGCTCTTTAATTTTAGGTTGACAAATCACAATGTTATTCTTTTAGTCTGTTAAGCACGGAGGATTTTCCTCTGTGTGAAACTAATGTGATTGGGATTGATTTCTTATCCTTGTAATAATTCTTCTTTTAGAATTATCGAAACACAGTACTTAAGAATGTATTTGTTACATGTAATACTAATGAGTTAATTTTTGTTGCATTGTTAGGTGTTGTTACGAGTCTTTGTTTGAATGTACTTAATTTATTTTTAAAAGAAACTTTAACAAATTAATTCCAGTATCACAAACTGGATTGATTTTGGTCATCAAAGATTGATCTATATTTTTTTGAGTTTTGGCAATGAAAACTTTTTACTCAGTTGCTCAGAGTCTTTACTGGTATTATCAATTTTTTTTTTTAATGGTCGGGTGCTCAAAGTCATTCCAGTTTGCAATCTCAGCATGCATTTAGCAGTTATCAACGCTGGATTTGAAAGACTGTTGTAAACCACATGTGTTAGGTAGACATATAAGATATTCAAAATAGCTGGTTATCTATGAGGGGCACAATGTTCAGGTTCAGACATATTCAGATTTTCTTTGAAATTTATGTTGCAATGTTAATTTATTGATCTATTTAACTTATTTTGTGTAGAAGAGATTTCTTCTTTTAATTTCTGATAGTACAGCTCACAAAAATACTAAGATTTTCTGTCTAGATATTTTTTGAATGCTCGTTAATTAATTTGTGAATGGTCTTATTGACAACTAACTGAGAATTTGAAAAAATATTCAATTGGAATGTTGTGTTGAAGTTGACAGGGTTTACTCTTCTATCTTAACAATTTCTTAAAATAGTTTTCTGAAATTGAGAAATGAAGACTTAGTTCTTAATTTTGAAACACATTTTTTTATGACTCAATTGACTTGTTTGTAGTGGTGGCAAAGTTGGGTAGCTTGAGATTGGGTGCCTATTTGTTTTGTAAAAAGATAAAAAGCCTCTTGATGGAAAAGATCTAATAAATTCTTGTTCCCATTAGCCCCTCCTTTCCTTATTTCGCCGGTCCGCCAGAAATTCAGTCCCCACAATGCTTTGAATACATTGTTGCAAGCTGTCGTCAGCCGTCAGCCTCTTCGACTTGCCGACACGTTTTGCCATCTACGAGAAAGGCATCAATGAAAGACGTTGTGACTTCTGAAATTGGAGAAGGAGAAGAACCACAAAACAGCTGAGTATGCGCGACTAGCGCGCAGCGCAGCAGGGCGGTGACGTGCCATATTCTGCCGACCCTGCCCCTGCCGACGGACGGCGCATCGCGGCTCAGCCGACTGATTCCGAAGAGCTTCTTCAACTTCAACTTCAAAACGGGTTATAACGACTGGCTCTCCTATATCTTCCGTATAGCTCCGTCCTTTTCGCACTCTTAGGGCAGCCCCCCTTGAGCGCTCTTTGGAATCAGCACGGTGCACCTTCTGCACCAGCCGTCTGGTCTTTCACCCGATTTGGCGCTGCGCAGGCCTGGCCTTCCCTTGTCCCTTACCCGCCAACCCCACCCGCCACCAGCTCGCGCCGGCCCCGCTAGCGCACCGCCATCCTCCACAACATCCTGGTCAGACGCGCGCTTCGCGGTGACCGAATCATTTTCACCCTGTTGATGAGCTCCAATCTTTTTATTTAGAAATATTTCATTAAAAATAAGAACTATTCTATCCTAGCTCTACCGTACGAAAGCCCTTGTACTTTATACTCGACTTCTTCAAAAATAAGAGCTAGCAGCAGTAATTTTTCGCTTGCCATTGTTTCCCCGTTATACGGATCACGGAAAAGAAAGCAAAATGCGAACGCTTTTTTTGCGTGAGGGCGGAGGGGCAGCACTGTATTGTAGAAGAATATGGCCCGCAGCACTCGGTTTCTCAACCTTC